GGGTTGTCCCATAGCTCAGTGCATAAAGCTGGTTCCATTCTTTTGCATCAATCCCATTCACGATGCCCTTCAGCTTCCAATCAAACTCATTTATTATTTGATGCAGACCCTAGCCACCTCCTTTAGTTTCCAGCTCCCAGGCGTAACCATGGCTTACAGTGACTACGCAATCTGCTGCTCTCAGGCCAGCTGCAAGGACATTGAAGTGTTCCCCACCTCCTGGGTCATATAGTTTGAAGTAGTTTTGTGGAAGATCCACATAACAAAAATCGCATATTGGACCACAACCCCGGTGTGCTATGTTGTGGATCACAGGAACGCACCGGGTATACTTACAGAAGAGAACCTTAAGAGCAGCCTTACAAAAGCGAACCATGCGTTTTAAAATATCCCCTCGGCCTCCCCCATATATATTTTTCTCAATATTGCGGAACATAGGGTTGTCCATGAACACAAAATCCATGCCATCAATATAAGCTTGAGAGAAAGTTACCTCCATATCCTGCCCATCCACCTTACATCTCTTGCGCACTCCTGTTTCTTGGATTTCTGCATAGTTACCATACTGTGGTGCTGCAACCATAACTCTATGTCCACGCCGAGCCAAGGCCTTCGGTAAAGCCCCAGCAACATCGCCAAGTCCACCTGTCTTCGACAAAGGAACGCATTCTGTAGGTACCAATATAATGTTCGTGACATTGTCCCCGGCCAAAGGAGGAGACTTTACAGTTTCATCCTCCGTGCGCTGATCCTTGGGAAAAACTGCGGCTGTAGGGGCAGCGATCYGCTGTTCGCTGGATGCCTCTGCCCAGTTTAGACGGCGACTGTTTGTGTTGGCAATTCCCTCATAACTCCCTTCTTTGTTGGAGAGGAATGCTTCCAGCAGGCGTCACATCTCCCGGACATCTTCCCTGACTTCACGAACCTCCATGCTGGTTTCTACTAGCCTATGTTCCAGTTCGTTGACCTTGAATGATAGCTGCTCCATATCGCTCGTGACGTTTGGCTCTAATACCAAATGTTATGGTCCCGCACGTAGGATCTCGTCATGGGTCGGTCCCAATGAGAAAGCCCTGCTTTCCCTTGCGCCTTCTCGTGCGGGTAGACCCTATTGCGGAAACTGAATGGGTGATTTGTCCAAGAGACCACCCGAACTCTCCCTTGGGGTGATTTGTCCAAGA